CCAATTCTTGGGCTACTCTTTTACCAACGAATAGTGGGATTGACCGTCATATTATAACGCTCCCACGGCTGAAAGGTGGGATGTTTGGTGGGATGGAGATTCGAACCCGCGACCCGCAGATTGCGAGTCGAGCCCTCTAACAACCTGGTCATGCCGGGTAACAAATTGGTTTGGTACTTAAAATGTAATTCTTATATAGAAAATAAAATTTCTTAGAAACTTTTTTGACTCTTGTTATGGCAAACTTAATAAGACCATATGTTGCTGTGCTTCGTTTTGAGCTGTGGACCAGTGAGAAGGCAATCGGCTAGCAGCACCCACCGCCAACTCTTTACCAAATTGTTAGAGGTTTGACGTGTGTACGAATGTGTTCATTTACACTTCTCAAGTAGATAAACAAATGAATCTATTAGTCACTCAACGTGATTTTACTACAAACGCTGTTTTTCAAGTTTCATCTTGAGTTTTATGATGATCAACATGTTCAACCGTTAACAGAAAGAACGTTCATGAGTTAGGATCAAAATGGAATGATCACCATGAATGTGCTTCAATAATATAATTTAATAGCTCCAATTCACTAAAGTCCGCTAAAAGTCTTGCTAAACCTGTAAGAAATAGTGTCTATTTCTTAGAAATGGTTAGGTTACAACACATACTGATAAGTCTTGACCTTTTTACGTCGAAAAATATTTAAGTAATTAAATGTGAATCTCCCTGGATAACACAAATAGTAGGTAGGAAGTACTTTGTTTGGAACAGTCAACGTGAAATCATGGACACCCATGTTCCTCTTGCTTGAATCCTTAGACGAAGATGTGGTGTAAAAGATGTCTTCAAAGACTAGACCAGTATCCACATTGTCTTAATTCCATCGCCCTCGTTCTCCAAGAAGCTGCTAAACAGCTACAAGTAGCCTGAACTGGTGGAATAAATCCATATTGGAGCAAAATTAGTCCTATTGTAAAGTGCTACACCAGCGACATGGCTGGGTTTGTCAAGACTAAAGGTGTTTACTAAACAATACCAAAAACTGAAGGTGATCGACTAAATAAACGTTAGAACAGGTAAGGTACAAACTCAGCTCATCGATCAAGAAAAAAATGATAAGTTGTTGTTTGTCATTAAGCACAAAGCTACACAAAGGGCTATCTGTGCTCTATGTTGTATTCAGCAATTCAATGTTAGTAAAAAAATTTTCAGTCCCATTTTCAAACGTACATTTAAAGTCAGTCTTTAGATTTCTTTAGGTTACGAAGCACTGGAATTCACAAAAACGTTTACAAGTTCTTTTTATAATAAAAAAACTTAAGCTATTAATATTAAACGGAAATCAGTTACTGCTTGTATTCATTGGCTGACAATACAAAGGTATTTTTAATACTATGCTCAAGGTAAATATCTTTATCGTCTTGAGAACGTATACAATTTAATGTATATGATAATGAGGTAAAAGAAATACATTATTTGATGTTTATGTAACTTATAGCGTATAACTAAGTAATGTTTTGCAATAAGTTAAACCTTCGAAACGTTATTTACAAGCTCAGCGACGAGAAGAACGTGTCATACAGAACTCCTAAGATTGAACATTACAAAGAAAAGACATTTACTGAGGTTATATTTTCATCGTCTTTGTAACGTTCGCCAGCTTAAAAAGCAATAAAATTGTTATATATATATAATATAGTTTCAAGTGGATTTATCTACTGACGTAGTGCGCGTGAACGTTACATATATCTGTATGTTTTAAATCATAACTTAATTGTTAGAAATTACACACTATCCTTCGAGCCCCCCAGTGGCACAGAGGTATGTCTGCGGACTTATAACGCTAGAATCTGGGATTCGATACCCGTGGTGGGCAGAGCACAGATAGTCCATTGTGTAGCTTTGTGCTTAACTTAAACAATCTAAAATCTAGCTTGGTACAACGTCGGCTGAGTAATGTATTCCAATGCCATGGTTTCGTGTATATTTTATGAATTTCATATAACTAAAGCATGTTTAATTTTTATAATTGTCTTACCTGGAAACACTGTTTAATTGTTTTATAACTGTAATATATATAAAGTGTATTTTTAGTCGACTTTTACGACATCCTTTTCTGACCTTTTGTATATAATTGAAGTTTTAGCTACAGTAACGTTTTTATAGCGAAATGATTTTGCATTTACTAATCTCACATACACAGTAAACACTCAAACAAGCATTTCAAGTCAATTTATTTACGACAGCTACACGTGGGCATTAAATATTTCATTACATTTCGTTTCATAGATCTTGGTTTATTTACCAAGTTCACCGAAGCCAACATTGGCAAAGGTGTTAGAAAATAAATGACCAAAAAGTTTGATTGCGAAAAAAAATTTAAGATGTAAAAACTTATTTTTGAATAAATTTCGCCTATCACTGTATAATTAAAGCGATTAATTCTGATATTACCGAGTTGTTTTTATATTATTCACCTCCCGTTGGGTCCACATATTGCGTCATATTGAGAAAGTTGGTTTTTTTTTGT